CTGGTCATCACGGTTTGTTGTATCATTGTTTGATTCTGTGCACCAGTCTGGGGACTAGAATCAACGCTGATCAACTTCCATTGAGGACACCCATTGATAAACAAAGTAAAGTGTCTGATTTCTCATGTTGTTTCTAAAATGTTTCCCTGTTGAAGAGGTTGTCATCATGGATTGCTGAATTAATGTTTGATCTGAGTAACCATTTTGGGGACCAGATCAACGTTGCTCCACATCCTTTGAGGACACCCAATGTTGGGTTAAAGAACAAAAAGAATCATGTAAAATGTGTTGTATATGTGCCCCTATTCAGGAGAATAGGCCCAATTTAAGGAGGGGGTAGTGTAACGGACAGTCTATGCACACTTTTGTTGTCATTGCTTTCTAGCACTAGTGCTCCGGCGGAGGGGCTCCGGCGGCGCGCACCTGACCTGGATTTGGGTCTGGCTAGCGCGCGCTCCGGAAATAGGCTCTACAAATAGGTTGGCTAAGTGGGGTTCTTTTGTTCAATTGCGCGGGAAGAACTTGGCTGGATTCCAGGGTTGGGTAAAGTTGTAACATTGTAATACATTTTGTGAAACTGTGCATGTATATGCTGGGAATTTATCAGTTGCAGTTCTGGTAGCGGTGTGGCAAGTTGGCCGCAGAGTCCGCTTGGCGAAATAAATGAGATCTTCCTTCAGAGTTAGAAATCCCGTCTGTCTGTCCCCTTTTCTTGCGTTTGGCCGGATTTGGCGGACAAGAGCCCAGTAGGATCCCGCTACATTATCATACATCCCATAAAAAGAAAAGAATGAGGAACGGCCCTGCTGATGCTGATAGCAAATCCCATCCCCCTCCCATGTTTTAAACCCTAATTCACGGCGGCAACTTTCTTGGAATGACCTTGGAACTTTCCAACAAGTTATTAATATCAACAGATTATTCCCTGAATTTTGCTTGCACAAAACCGGTTCTTCCTTGCTATTTTCCTAGCCAGAAAACCACTTCTTTTTAAGAAAACACAAGTCTGATAAAAACTTAAATGCATGGTGGCGGCCAAACTCCATTCCATGTAACTTTAAATGTAGTGGCGACATGTATGATTACGCCCCTTCCTACTAAACACATCTTTGCGGCTTCCAAGACTGCAACCTGTCATTCCCAACGGCATATCAGCTGGCAAAACACAAGAAAACTGAAGGCCACGTCGGCGTGATGTTGTCTGTCTTCCTCGCTTGCACTGGTACGGAAGACAGACAATATCACGCCGTCACTGAAAAGTTTTCTGGATGACATGTGAAATACATGGGTACATGCAAGTGCATGAACATGTTTGTTTTTTAACTTCTGCATATTAACAAATCAGTTTTTTATTAATCGAAATTAGGGGTGGGTGGGTGGGTCAAAATAATTTGGATAAAAAGTCGAAATTTTAAAACACTGAAAATTCTCAATGGCCCCTTACCATTCTCGCGATATAGGGCCCTAAAGTATGCACCTTTAAGATGACGTTACATGACCCATGATGACGTCATCATTGCGTCTATCTTCGCGAAAGACCTTTGCTATATGTTCTTTGACTATGTAAAGTTTCAATGTTATATGAGTATGCTTTATGCAAAAAGTGCCGATGAGAAAAAACGTGCACAAAGTCTATGGCATTTTGGTTGGAAGTCCCAAGAGGAAAAAAAAAAATAATAAACTAGAGGTTGTAGGAACAACCACACGGTGTTGGGCCATGGACTACCGCAAAATTTTCCAAACACATCAACTGAAAATGCATGTTTTAATCCATGTTTAACTTAGTCAACATGCCGCTAGAGGGCGCTGTCACATTTTATGACGTCACCTGTAATATTTTTGTAAAGTACAGCCTAGGCAGAGCTTCACATCGTTGAAAGCAAGTTCACATCCTTTGGCAATTTCAAATTATAAGACACTTCCGGTTCGACTGGAAGGAAGGGTCACGTGATTTTGCACTTAATACCAAAAATGAAGACCCTGCAAAATTGTATAAATAGTCATAAAAACAAAATCAAATCTGTGGCAGTTGATTTTATATTGATTTTCAAAGATTAAATATGGAAATCTTTATTTGCTTGTAATATGACACTTGATGACGTCATTGTGACGTCATTGCCAGAAACCTCCAGAGCTATATTTATTGTGCTATATATAGCCACATCTTGATTATATATCTATCACGGTATATTTTCTAGCAATTTTTTTTATGATTTAAAGGTCTTTTTGTTGTTACTTCCGGTCTGATGACGTAATCAATTTTTTTTCGCGCACAGGTGTTGTCTGCATAATGGTCATCATGTACATTAATTCTGAAGCGATTACCGCAAACTTCGCCACAGACATCAAGTGAAAATGCGTTTTTGACGTTTTTAACCTGCCGCTAGAGGGCGCTCCAACACTTCATGGCGTCACCCATTATTGTTTTTGAAAGGTCAATCCAGGCAGACACTTAAATCGTAAAAAGCAAGTTCATATCTTTTTCCACTTTTAAATTATTAGGCACTTCCGGTTTCGACCGGAAGGAAGGGTCACGTGATTTTACACCAACAGGATAAAATGAAGATCATGTATTACCATGTCGATTCTGGCACATTTCAGGTTCCGGTCTCTCACGGTTGATTTTATATGGAATTTCAAAGATTAAATTTATTAAACTTTGAAGTGACGTCACGTGACCCGTGATGACGTCATGATTACGTAATTGCAAAAAAAGGAAATCTGCGGTAGGTTGTGCATTCATGTATTGACAATTGAAGTTCATATATGTTTTCATTTTGACACACAGTTCTGGAGAAGGAATATGTATAGAAGAAAAAAAAACTAAAAACCCTAGCAAAAACAATAGGTTTTGGGCTAAAGCCCAACACCTAATAAAAAAAATAAGTACAGAAACAAAGGCTTTTCCGCAAATAAGCGGAAAAGCCAAAAACTAATACCCTGTTTAGAAGGACCAAATAAGATAAGTAATTGGAGACATTTGTTATTGTCAAAAGTGGCATCTTATAAGGCATGAAATCATCTCGCAATGTTTTACCCATTCATTCAATTTTTTTGTTTGGACTCAAATGACTTTCTGAGTAGATATGTGTTTGAAATATGTTTTGCCACATCAGGGTAAAATACTTACTTTTTATTTCCTTGGGAAAGAAGCAAAACTTCCCTGTCTACAGTTTGTTACGTTATGTTAATTCATAGACCCCGATAGACCTTATCATGCTGCCACGTGACCATTGCAGTCACGTGCCCTGTATCCAATTTTTGTACAAAAAGGAACCTGACTATTCCTTCCAGCCTCGCTTTGGTTACGTTGATATGAATGGGAAAAAAACAATGACCGCAACATGATAATGGTCTATTGTTCTAGGAAGTTACAGCTGTTGGTTTCTTTGTTATCAGTCACTCCACTGCCAAGGTCATTTCTGGTGTTTCACGCCGGCGACAAAGCCGCGAAAACGGGACAAACATTTTTGTTTCACAGACTGTTTTTTCTCGATGGACTTGAAAGATAATGAAATTTGTTATCTTATTGAAACTAGGGACTATATAGCCGATTTGTTTACAATTTGAAAGGTTGAGAAACTTTGAGTGAGAAAGTAGTAGTGCGTTTGAATAACGTCGTATTCGTGCATGAGTTTGTAGCCATTATAATGTATACGGGAACTGGGGACATGACAGTAGCATGATTGTCCTTGACCGAGAAATTAGAGGCACAATATGGGACACGTTCTTATTTATCCAGGGAATTTGAAAAGACAGAAGTCATTGACCTCTTGACGTCTTTGGTAGAGGTAGATGGTCCCAATGTTGTCAGCGCTCCCACAGCCAAACTCCAGGTTCGGGAAGGCATGGTCCACCAGGTTCATGAAGGACCGGAGAAGCACACAAAGTTGACAGGACAATTAAAACAAACTTATAGTACTACATCAAGCAGCCCGATATTTCAACAACTCACCCATTAACCCCCCCCCCCCCCCGCCCATTTCCCATATTGTGCCTCTAATTTCTCCGTGAAGGACAACCATATGCTACGGGTGCATACATATATTTCCCCAATACCTATGTTCCCCAATACCTATGTTCCCCAACCCACACCCTAAACCTAACCATCTAACCCTAACCCTATAACCCTAATAACCCTAAGGGGTTAATAACCCTAAGGGGGAACATAGGTATTTGGAATGAGGGGGAACATAGGTATTTGGAATACTGTAGGTATTGGGGAACATCGGGTAGACCCCCATGCTACTCGTGTGTACAGCCCGAGTACAACAGCAGGGCACCGCGTATTGGCATCGATAGCCTGAGTACTTTATTGCCTACTGTATTGGCAGCGCTGTGTGTTGGCATGGGCGGTTTGAACAATTCGTGAACGTACCCCCACATCACGCATTTATGGTGTAAACGAGGATTTTCTATTGTTCCTCTTCCTCATTCCTTCGTTTACACTCCAACTTCCTCGTTCCTTTGCGTTACACTCCAACTAAGTTGGTTTTGTAAACGTTTTCTAAACGAGGTCGTCCTCGATTTGACTCCTGTCCTCATTTACTCGATGATGCTCCACATGTGTGTCCTCCATTTACACCATAAACACGTTACATACCAAGTGTGGACATTCCATTGCTTTCGTGTAGTTAAGAAAAACCAGTGAAAAAAAATCATTTTTTCTCAAACTGTGAAAACTCTTTCGACCCAATTTTTGTCTATGATTCCCTTTAACTTGTTTCTCTTCATTCTGCCACGGATAAACCTAACCCAAAAATGCCTCTAAACCTGTTTTCCAGAAATGGGGAAACACTGTGTGGACTTGCCCAAGTCCACACAACGTCGCCTCTACCTGGTTTATGTGGACCTCTTTTGTTCGGAAGTCCACACAGTAAATTTACCCATACTTTCTTCTTTATAGTAAAGTGGGGCTTTTCTCTTCAAACTTTAATATTTTAATCAATTACATGAACAGTACTTCGAATCAAAATTGGAAAATAAAACTTTAGCTTTACCTGTTCTTTAATAGTGGATTTGTACACTGAATGGTCAAAGTCCCAGCCTGCGTTGCAGTCAATGATGGTCTGGTTTAGTTCTCCTCTTGTTGTGTTGATCGTTACCTAATCAAAAGCCAAGTAACAAAGATTTCGGTGGTAAGTTGTGAGTCGGCGAGTGTTTTCGTATGTGGTCACCCCTAAAATAACGCAAAGAATGGGCTAAATACGACCCCTTGTATAGACCACAAGTATGAAAAAACTTCTGGCGATGAATAGCCATTCAGAATACAATTTTGTGCGCTCTGAGACCAACTTAACTTGGGTTTCTCTGTCTGGATTTTTTAAGTTCTGGCAGGAGCTTTCACCCATGTCACTTGTTGGGCGGCCTGTCTGTTCGTCTACTGTCGTGGTGTCTGTCTGTTTGTCTGTCTGTCCCCGAAAATTGCAAATGAGTAAATGCCATGCCGTGGTCATATAAACGCACACTTGCCGAAAGGTTTTCGGGAAGATCAGGTTTTTTCGATCGATGCGCACTGCGCGTCTATTTCGCATATGAAGTGGGACATTCCCAAACTGGGCCAGAGCTTATCGTGCAATGGGCCATATTCACGAGTCGGCCATATTGAATTGAAAGTGAGGTAAAAATCTTAATTTTTGGAACTTGCGAAGAGAAATGAAAGCAACTTAATTTATAATAAATTTCAGTCTGCTTCAAATGAATAATTAAACATTTGTAATTAAACACTCCCCAGGCCTATACATTCCCATGCCATATTAATAAAATAAAAAGAAATGACGGTAAAGTATGGCATAAATAGTCTGGCGCCATCCTTTTCAACAGTTAACACTTAATGAAATACATTCAGGGAACTCGACAAAAATGGCCAACTCATGAATAAGGCCTCCTGTGCTTGTTTCTGGACATGGCATAATGCTTGTTTCGGTTCTTTAAGACTCGGTGAACTGTGAAAAGATGAAACACGAAGGTCTTGGAACCCATTAGGAGCCTACCTCCACACCAGTCCAGTTGTATCGTCGACAGTTGTCATTTCCTTTGCCACTCAGTGTTGGGACAGCCACATCAATAATCTTCTGGTCGCACTGGGCCTCATCCAGGCCCCAGGCACCACACTGGGTCCGTATCTCGGGGACAGAGCACCAGTGATTAACACTGGGATTGGTGAAGATCTAGAATGAAATGATAGTCAACAAACTGAAATGTATGGAAGTGTAGATAGGACATGGTTAAAAATAAATCTAATTCGTACGTACGAATTACCAAACCGTACGTACGAATAACTAAATCGTACGTACGAATAACTAATTCGTACGTACGAATTACTATACCGTACGTACGAATTACTAAACCGTACGTACGAATTACTAAGCCGTACGTACGAATTACTAAACCGTACGTACGAATTACTAAATTTAGGAGGGGTGACTTTGGGGGGGGGCAACAAGGTTTCATGGGGGGGCTGTCGCAGTGGCGTAGCCACAGGGGGGGCGTTGGGGTGACAGCCCCCACCCCCCATGAAACCTTGTCGCCCCCCAGTCGCCCCCCACTGAACATATCATGACACCCCCCATGAAATGTTCCAGCCCCCCAGCAGCGCCCCCCCCCCCCTCCACTGAAAAATTCCTGGCTACGCCACTGCCCCCACGCCCCCCCCCCCCTCCCGTGGCTACGCCACTGACTATTTAATTCGTACGTGTGATTTATTAATTCGTACGTACGGTTTAGTAATTCGTACGTAAGAATTAGTTTTATTTTTAACCATGTCCTATCTACACTTCCATAGAAATTTGAACAACGTTGTCTTCGCAATGCCTAAGTGCAGACTGAATGTGGAGGCGTATCATGTGCTTTTGGTGTACATTTTTAGTGCACCTAATATGAAATAGATTTCTGCGATGTCGCACATTTTATCGCAGATTTCTGCGCAGATTTCTGCGATGTCGCACATTTTATCGCAGATTTCTGCGATGACGCACATTTTATCGCAGATTTCTGCGATGACGCACATTTTATCGCAGATTTCTGCGATGACGCACATTTTATCGCAGATTTCTGCGATGTCGCACATTTTATCGCAGATTTCTGCGATGTCGCACATTTTATCGCAGATTTCTGCGATGACGCACATTTTATCGCAGAAATCTGCACAGATTTCTGCGATGTCGCACATTTTATCGCAAATTGTTGAGATGTCGCACATTTTATCGCAGAAATCTGCGGATGTCGCACAATTTTATCGTACATTTCTGCATCTTTTTAACACACTGGCGCCTGGCTATTTTTCTGCTGAAGCTAAGGGGTCTAAGAATGTCGGGGTTCTGGTCTCCATGATATTAATTTTGCATATAGGATAGTAGTCGGCTGCCGAAAGTATAGTCTGGTTCCCAGACCAAAAGATTAAGACTATTCCTGATGAATCTTAGGTCCGGTCAACCTCGTCCCCAGGGTGTCGAGCAGTACGCGCCCACCACTACCTGCTCTCTCACCCTGGTATTGGATCATTTGCATGTGCAAGATTTTTGAACACGTATGCAAATGAGGAACAGTCTGGTGCCTGGATATGCGTTATACATTAGCGTTTGTTTTTGTATGCGGTGTCTGGGGTAAAAACAGAGTCAGTTCGTAGCAACGCGAGCACGGCGTGAGTTACGAAAACACGATTTTTGAAATCAAACTGTTACGATCTTATCGAGAAAACATGCAATATCATATTTCATATTAATATGAGCAAATTGGAAAGGAAATTAGTATATTTTGGAGAAGGCGTGGACGAATGATCGCGAAAACACGTACTGCACGTTGTGAATAATAGCACCAAGTACACGATGAAAAATCCATTACTTGCCAATTGCGGTATCCAATCAGGATACAGGAAGAAAGTTTCCTATCCAGGGTTTACTATTGGAAACGCAGTTGATAATAAAGTAAGCACTGGGGACGAGGTTGTAGGTCCGGTAGCCTCCGGTAATACAATGTATTACAATTTACGTCACGTGACTAAAACGGGAGGAATTCCTCCTTTTTCCGAAAATTTTCGAACTTTGCCGAAGTCGTTTCGTCGACAATCGGATAGTGCCCGAGTATTTCCGAGTATATAATATAGGTTTAATTAACTGCTAATTGCTTATTAATTTTATTTTTAATGAGTTGATAATTAATATTCATTGTTTTCATCTAGAAAACTTGAAATTCAACGACGATTTTGTGCATCAAATATACTCGGACGGGCGAACTTTTTGCTGCGTCATGTACAATTTTGAATTTGACGCCGTTACCGAGATTTTCCAAAACTCGGTCTTCATTCGGCTCCGCCTGCTAACAGTGCTATTTGGTTCCGTAATTTTGAAGATTCCAGATCAACATTACTCAATGCTATCTTACAAAAACATCAAACTGTATTATCATAACTGTATGATATTACGAAGCAAGTGATTTATCTAAAGATTTGATCAGAACATTAAAAGCTACAAGTGATAAAGCGAAATCGGAAACGAAGCCGCGCTTTAAAAAAGGGCCATTAATGTCGTCATGTTTATTTTTAGCCACGGAGGCTGCCTGACCTACAATTTAAGACGTGAGCGTTTAAGAAATCTGCGCAGAAATCTGCGATAAAATGTGCGACATCGCAGAAATCTGCGCAGAAACCCTTACAGAAATGTCCCATGAGCATCCCATGGGATTCCCATGGGATTCCCATGGGACCCCATGGGAAACCCATGGGGTCATTAAGAACACCATGTAAGGCCCAAAAAAAATGTCTCCGGTTTCTGGTATGGAGCTTGTCCAAAAAGTGGTGCGGCGACGCGGCTTTTTTTTTTTTTTTACCCGACTTTTTTGCTTCAAATGTCGGCTGATGACTGCAAATGGTGCCCGACTAAACTTAGTGCAAATATTATGGGAGTCCAGAGAGGCCACATAAAGCTTATTCTCGATCATAACCCCATCTAAAAACACGTTGAAATTGCGCAGCAGCAGAATTCCAGTCAAACCAGTGAGTTTGGCGATTTTGAGACATCATCTTCCATTGAAAAAAAAAATTGTTTCATTTTGCCGACGCGCATGGCTACGGCGACGTTAAGATGATCATCATGGGAAACCCATGGGAACACCATGGAGATTGCATGGACAACGTGGGAACACCATGGGGATTTTACGAGTTCCATGGGAACACCATGGGAACAACATGGGGATTTTTGGACACCATGGGAACACCATGGGAATTTATAGACACCATGGGAACACCATGGGAACCCCATGGCTATTTTATGGACAACATGGGAACACCACGGGGATTTTATGGACACCATGGGAACACCATTGGGATGGTATGGCACCATGGGAACACCATGGGGATTTACTGGACACCATGGGAACAGCATGGGGATTTTAGACACATGGGTACACCATGAGGATTCGGACGCCATGGGAACACCATAATGTGGGTGATACAAATTATGGACACAATGGGAACACCATGGAGATTTAAAAGGCAGCTCGCGGGGACACTGCCGGGATATACTGGATAACATGCATGTGCCATGGAAAACCATCATAGACCCAATTGCAAGTCTGGTGCCTGTATGTGCGTTACATTAGCGTTTGATTTTGTATGCGGTGTCTGGGGTAAAAACAGCATCAGTTGGTCGCGCCGTGAGTTATGAAAGCACGACTTTTATCAAGTTAAAATGTTACAATCTGGCCCGTCAATCCGCAGTGTCACATTTCACACTTATATATGAGCAAACTGGAAAGGAAATGAGTATTTTGGAAAAGGCGTGGACGTTAAAATAACAATGATCGTGAAAATACGTAATGCACGTTGGAAATTAACACCACCAACTACACGATATAAAACCATTCCTAGCAAATTGCGGCATCGAATCAGGATACAGGAAGGAAGTTTCCTATCCAGGGTTTACTATTGGAAACCAGGTTGGAAATAAAGTAAGCACTGGGGACGAGGTTGCGTCTAGGGTACTTGCTTAAATTTCCCCCCCCCCGAAAATGGGGGAAACTAGTGGGCGAAAATGGTGTACGGCGCCGGGCCCGTCCGGGGTAGCATTGCAGTACGCTCGCGCTGTTTGGTTCGTAAAATACGACGGAGAACTTGGCGGAGTATGATACACGTAGGCGCCGTACTCGTACACTCATGTGCGTACGCATCAGTGTGACCGTAAGGTCAGAGCTAAATTCTGCTAAATGCACATAAAAAAATCTGTCAGATTTATCAAAAATCTGCCAAATTCCCCAGAATTACTCGAAATACACTTGAAACACTTAAAATCACATGTAGATTGGTAGTATTACCCATAATTAAGGTTCAACTCACATTATAAACATTCTATAGTCACATAAAGATGTCATGAAATTACCCTGTAAATTTCGGGCAAAATGCAGATTCGGCCATGACGACGTTTCCCAGTGGATCAGCACTAGACCCACTGAGTTGTAACAAGTCACTGATTTTTGTGACTCGAGTCTAGTCGAGTCATTTTAAAGAAGTGACTCGACGGAATCGAGTCGAGTCATTTTATAGGTCAAAAGGTCGAGTCGAGTCGAGACAAATATTTAGCTCGAGTCAATTCGAGTTACGATTATTTGAACACTATGTATACCAAAATTTATAAAAGGAGGCAATAACTTTAGCGAGCGTTCAAATACAAAAGCTCCATAAGAAAACGCCAAAAACCGATGATGAAACAGCGAATTAGAAAATGTGTTTAAAAATCTGGTTCCCGGATGGTAATTTGTGCGTTCTAGAACCATGAGGTGGGAGTCTGTGACACTTGTTTATTTGTACATGATTGCTATTCGCAAAGTAAAGTGAGCATAAATTTTGCACCGTAAGTCATTGCGAATACTTTTCGCAAAGTTGCGCTTTGTATTTTTGGGACTCAATCGAGTCTTAATCATCAGCCTTCGCTCGAGTCGAGTCGAGTACTTTGATAAGGGACTGGAGTCGAGTCGAGTCATTTGCTCGCAGTAAAGTCGAGTTGAGTCATTTACCCTTAGGGACTTGAGTCTAGTCGAGTCACCAAAAATTGTGATTCCAGTCGACTCGAGTCGAGTAATTGACTCGAGTCATTACAACTCTGCCTAGACCAGCCATCTTGTCCCATTATGCCAGGGTTTGTTTGAAAAGGATTGAAGCTTTTTAAACAAATATGTA